ACCGCAACACTCCGACTGACCGCGCCGCCCAAATCAACGGAATTGCGGCTCCTCCGCGCCGCGTGTGTCTGTTGCCGCACCGCCTGCACGCCGCAGGCAAATAATATCCCCCACGAAAAATCTACGGGAACAGTTTCCCCCCAATAGTTTGAAGCATATGCCTCCTCATTTACTCACCGGACTGCTGCACGGCCCTGGCGGTGGTGTGTTGTGACGCACACCCGCCGCGGCAGACCGCAGCCCAACCAAACATCCTCCCCCGCGTGGAATTCACACACACATAAAAAATACTGCACCCAACAGCGGGGCGTTTTCGGTCGCCGCCCCCGTGCAGCGCACCGTCCTTTACATCCACCCGCTCCGCCTGCAGCCTCCTGCGGCGCCCGTCTCTGAGCCCCGCCCCCTCCCCCTCACGCATCACCCCGCGGCACACGTTTTCGGTTCTCTAGGCAGCACCGGGAGCCCCCGACAGCAGCGAGAGCGCCCCCCCGTCGCCCAGCACCTCACACAGCCGGTCCACCATCTGCCGATCAACGTAGTCGCTTATAGTTGACAACTTCACGATCTCGTGCCCGTATTTGCCGCATTCCCGCTCAACTTTCACAAATTTCTTGAACGGGTTCTCCTCGCACCAAAATATCTCGGCCTCCCGCGCGAAGTAGTCTTTGGCAACCGAGGCGTCAATCGCCTGCAGGGCGCTCTCGACCGCCTCAGTGCGCCCGTTGAACGCGGCCTCACTGAGGACGTACCGCGGAAACGGCCCGACGCGCTCCATGCGGCTGTCGACCGTCTCCCAGTAGTCCGCCTGCGCCTGCGCGGGCTGGTGGCGCGTCTCCCAGGCGCACATCGCCTTCACGTCGTTCTCGTCGGGGCAGTTCATGATGATGAAGCGGGCGCCGACGTTCCTCCCCCACGCCTTGAAGTTGCTTCCGTTCGGGGACGCCAGCACAAGTAGGCCCCATCCGGCAGGCTGCAGCTCCGGCGGCGGCGGTGCCCCCTCCTCCGCCACGTCGTAGACAACAAACCCGTTCTTCCCACGCCCCCACAGGGCCTTCACGGCTCCCGCGACATTCTCCGCGCCCTCGTGCGCCGTCACCGTCTTCTCCTCCTTGTCAAACACGTACGCCAACTCCGCCCCAAAGCAGTACACCGCCACGTTGAGCCTCGCCGCGTCGTACTGCAGCAGCCCGTATAAGATATAGGAGCCAACGTCCATTGACTTTCCGATGCCCGGCGTCCCGAGCAGGAGAAACGGCTTCACGTCACAACGTCCAGGCTCGCGCGTGAGGAACAGGAAGGGCAGAAAGCACTTGACTATCCGCCACACCCGCTCCACCTCGGCGGTGACGTGGCAGTCGGCGAGGGCGGCCCCCTCCTTCGGCGCGTGCAGCCACCCCTTCTCAGAGGACAGTACCACCAGCCTGAGGCGCGGCGCACGCGACTGAGTCGCGCCGTCCTCCAGCCGAACAGTCGTGAGCAGCGCCTCGTACTCCCACGGCTTTGCTGGCGCTTGGCCCTCTTTCACCGCCATTTTCTCCCCCTCGCCCTCGGGAAACCCCAAGACGTGGCTCCATTTCGCGTTGAACACGGAGTCATAGAGGCCCTCCACACGGCCTGCGGGTGCGCCCCGTGGCCGCGGCGGGGTCATCCAAACGCCCGTGCGCTGGAGGGCCCCACGCACACCGCCAGCGGACGGCCAACGGGCACACGCGTCGCCGACGCACAGCTGCGGCTGCTGCGTGCCGCTCGCCCCACGCGCTTGCACCGCGGCGCCTGTCGCTGAGAGAATTGGGGCGCACTGCCTTCGATCCATTGCAAAGTGAAGACGCACAAAATTCCGCCACATTATCGCTTTGTACTTCAATCAACTGGTCTGTGTGTCTGCCGTATCACTATCACCTAACGAAAAAAAATCTTTGCGGCCACAGGAGAGAGAGAAGAGAGTTGCACACGCGAGCCGCGCTTCCCCAAAGCCTCCGCAGCCACACGGCGGAAGGACCGACGGACGGCGAGGCGCTGGGCCCCGGCGGCACCCCTCACGGCGGCCAGCCGCGCCAGAGAGACGCACGCCCGCAGCGGCGGCGGCCCAACGTGTCGCGTGGGCCGCAGGGGGGCGGGGCGCCACGGCACTGACGGCCGCTCCGCCGCCGCGGCGACAACAGACGAATCACTCGCGGCCGCACGCCCGTCACCCCCGCGCCACCGCAGCGGGAAACAAAAAAAGCGCCGTCGCCGTCGCGGACTGCCGCTGCCTCTTCTAGCGGGAAGGGGGAGGAGGGGGAGAAGGAAACGGGGGCGTGTCGGCGGCAGAGCCGGCAGCGGCGAAGAGCAAAGCAGGGCGCGGAGACACGCAGCGGCAGCGGCAGCGGCAGCGGCGCCGACTCAAAGTGAGCCGCAGCGATTTGCCCCAACGAAAAAAACTTTCACGGGTGGAGGCCCCGCGGGACGCCCAGCAAACAAAGCGGAAAGCAGATAAAACAAAGCGACTTCGGCAGGCGATTCTCTCGCCTCACGTGCCCGTCAGCACAAGAGGACCGTGAGTGCGTGAATATATTCACCG